AGAAAGGTTGTGGAGCCTCCGTTGATATGCCGTTGTAAATGGCTTGATGGAAAGCAGGTGTGTAGTCGGGGAGGGTGCACAGCTGATTGAAGCAGGTGAGTGGAGGTTGAGCCGGGAGCCAGGAGTGACAGCCACCACGCCCACACAAACAACACAGACAGGGGGAAACAAACAAACACAAAGGAGACGGCTGGAGCAGTACAGCCACCACAGCGTTACCTAATGCAATGTCTTACGGTGCCGTGTACCGGAGGGGAGAGAGAGAGAGAGAGCAGCGAAGGGGGGGGGGAGAGAAGTAATACGGTTTCCTGATAAAGCTGTGGAGAGTATGTGCTGCAGGGAGGTGGATGCACAACGCACCCAGGAACGAACACTAGCTCCGGTCCTTTTTACTGTGGACTCGATGTCCTGACAGGCTGGTATTTGTGCAACCTGCACAAACACAATACTGCACCATGATTACAAATGGTGAAATACAATGTAAAACTACCGAAAAATACCAGCTCCTTAAAACACAACCGCTCTACTCAACGCAACTCTACTATACCCGCGGTCAGAGAGCGGAGATGTGTCCCCTGTGTGATGTAATATGACGCGTTTGACGTGTCCTTTCGAAAGTCCTGTATCTCCTCCAAAACTTTGGCTATGCCCAATGAGCTAGCGCTAGCTTCGCCATCTTGTACAGTCTGCGTAGGTGAGCCGTTATCCGTGTTTTCTTCATTTCCAGGTTGTCCATAAGCCTTTTTATTTTTTCCATCCCTTCTTCCCATTGTTGACCCACTGCCGAGTTGCTTATTCTCAGAGTTTGTTTTATTTGACCACCTTACGGGGTTAATTAACTATTACTTTGGAGGAGCTGCTATCTTAGGCTGCCATTCAGGGCGATGACGTCACCGGAACCCCTGTACTATGTTTTTATGCAGACGATACCATTTGATGTCGCTTGTTACACTCTGACCATCCTCTCCTTGGTCTTCCCTTCAATATGAATATTTATATCAAAGAATAGAAAAGAAACAGTCCATGTGTATTAACGGTGAACCAAGTTAATAGGCTTTCCTCTAGCCAGTACCTTTGAGCTCGGTGGCCTCCAGAAGTTTCTTCCACTGGGAGCCGACCTCCTCCATGCGGTCGGCCACCTCAGTGGAGGCGTAATGCTTTCCGTCAAGCAGCTCCTGGCCAGACTTCTGCAGGGCATCGATGCGGCTCTGATTGGCTGAAAGCTCAGCTTCAAAAGCCTGGTGTTTCTGCACCTTGCCCTGAAGGTTGGAGGGGTCCTGTTGTCAAGAGAGCAGAAGCACAGATGTTGGGAAATAGTAAGGCAGGAAACTGTAAAAAACATTTCAAAATGTAAGAAACCTCTCTGCACTACTCTTTGATGAAATACCTTGTAAGCCTCATCTGTGGCGGTCTTCATCTTCTCGTTGATCCAGCTCTTGAGCTCATCAGAGTCCCTGAAGAACTGCTGCAGGTGGAAGGAGTCCTCCAGAGCAGCACGGCGAGACTGAGCGCGTTCATGCAAGGCGTTGCGGCGGCTGAGCAGCTATACATGTGGAAAGGAAGAGAAGACGTGTTGCTTTGAGTTCACATTGAGAAGGCTGCGTTCCGTTGTTTGAGGGGGTTTGTTCATTTGAGCGAGAAGAAGTAGATCACTGGTTCTCAACGGGGGCGGTACCTCCCCCCAGGGGGCGTTCAGAGAACATCGGGGGGCGCTGGAAGCAATATTTTTGAAAGGGGGGCGTTGAGGTGTTCTTGGGGGGCGTTCACGCATAATGTCTTTTTGTCATGAAAAACGCTGGCCACAGCGTCTTTTCCTGTACAAAAAGCAGCTGTCAGCATCTTTTGTTGCTATAGGAAACCACAACTCTGCTTGCGATTGGTCAGCTGTCAGCAGTGTTATTACGGGTACGTTCGTAAATGCACGAACGGTCAGTCCGCTCGGACAACCCGTCTGTTCCGCCAGAGCACCCAGCTGTGAGCGCTCAGAGCGCAGCGCTCTGGACTGTGGAACGGGGACGCTCGGAGCACTCTGAGCGCATTTACGAACGTACA